TGCAAAATCTGACATTGATTAACGTTACTAAATGAAAGACAACGGAAGAAAGTTGGTGGTGTTCAGATGGATCTAATTACTGATTCTCGAATCATAAGAGTCAGAGGTATGGATAATATTTTGCTTAAATAATCATTCATTTTGTATTATAAGTGATTATTTTCAGTAACACACTTGCCTGATAACCAGTTTTATATGATGATTGTTTTATTTTGATTACATAAATCTATTGAACGGAGATTATATTTCTCATAATTGTTAATGCAAATATATTTATCGAAGTTTGATTTGCTTATATGTATTGATTACTCTATTGGTATAATAATTATGTAAAAAAATTAACTTTTCATACCTTTGCACCAACATGAACTTATTTGATCAAATATTATACTGATAAAAAATTGTCTTTTTATACTTTAAAGCACGAGTTAATCGGCTAAACAAACTAAGATAGTAAAAAAAATCACCTATTGCTATTCAAGCTTTGTATTTCAATTTAATCACTCTTCAAAAGTTTTTTTTTTACAGTACGACGCTTTACAACGAGAGGAAGTCAGAAAATATCCGGACTTTTACTCGTTCTCGAAAACCATTCAACATTTAAAAAAAAAAATCTTTCTACTCTTTTTCAAAATATTCTCCACCTACGTCTACGCACTTTTGTCATCTTCGTGGGAGCTTTTGTATTCCCGCTGTGAACCATGACGTAGACGTATGTTTTAGGTACTGTGTAACAGCAGATATCAAAGCCGACCTGGTCTTATATTTCTTTCCAGCAAGCAATTTTTTCAGTTCTGGAAACAAATAAAAGTCACATGGGGCGAGGTCTGGGCTATATGGAGGGTGAGACAACAATTGCCATTTGTACCTCCACTGTAGCTGCGGCGGTATGGGAGGGGGGGGGGGGGGTTATCGTGAAGAAGGATGACATTTTTCTGTGCTAACCTGGGACGCATTTGCTTCAGCTTTTCTCTGAGATTTTTCAGAATTACTTCAGAATAGTACTTGGCGGTGATAGTTTGACCTTTTCTCATGAAATGAGTAAGTATCATTCCTCGTGAATCCCAAAAGGCAACAAGCATGACTTTGCCAGCCGAAGGAGACAGCTTAAACTTTTTAGGAGGTGGGGAACCAGCTCGTTTCCACTGCTTTGACTGAGCTTTTGTCTCAGGTTCGGAATAATGAACCCACATCTCATCTCCAGTGATAATGCGGTTCACAAATTTATCTCCTTCACGATTAAAACGAGTTAAATGTTTTTTTTTTGCATTGGTTACTCTGGTTGCCTTTTGATCTGCGGACAGCTGTCTAGGCACCCACCTGGCACTTACGTTGCTCATGCCTAAGTGTTCGTGAAACATCTTGTGTGCCGATGCCTTACCGATGTTAAACTTGTTTGGCTACCTCCTCGACAATTTTGTTGACAAAAGCTTTACAATTTGCTACCATTGTTGGGGTCACCGCCTCAGCTGGCCGCCCAGTCCTAGGCCTGTCACAAACACTTGTTCTGCATTCACCCAACTGAGAAACCCAGTTGTAGAAGGTTGAACGTGATACACATTTATCAGAAAATCTTTTTTAAGCCTCTGAAAGATGTGGCAGGGCTTTTCACCTTCTGCAACCAGAAACTTTATTACGGAGCGTTGTTCCTCTAACAAAGAGTCCATGATAGACGAAACACCTATCATATATCAGAGGGCAAAATACTGTGTATATACAACTATCATTGAAATAAAATGACATCGTTATTGGCGAATGAATGTAGTTTTCACCAATATATAATATGTGTATATAGCTGCACGTGGAAAGAGAGGAGCATGAAAAGGCCGGATATTTTCTGACCGTCCCTCGTAAAATGCGACGCTTTGTTATTATGTAACAATTAAATTGCGCGACATGCTCACATAATTATGGTAACCCCTGCTGATTGTGGTCAATACAACAAATTTTTCATTCACACTATGTTATTGTTAATATTTGATGCGCTTGTTTCAGGATACACGCCTCGCCTTATTGAAGATAGAAAGATTGGGACTATAAAAGCGTCGTCTGGCTGCACATCACGGGACAAGCAAGTTTCTTTCGAGTGGATAAGGATTTCTGTATGTACCTGTGCATTTTAATGAGTGTCGAGGTGACAAATTGATAATGCAAAATCATTTTTATATGCCCGAAAACATTTCGGGCAAATTATGTATTACCACCTGGCGTCCGTCCGTCTGTTCGTCCGTACGTCCGTCCGTTAGCAATTTGGTTTCCGGAGCATAACTTAAGTTCCATTCGGCCCACAGTATTCAAACTTCATAGGATGATTGGCCATATTGGGTAGAATACCCCTATTGATTTTGGGGTCACAAGGTCAAAGGTCAAGGTCACTATTACCTTGACACTGAAAACAGTTCCCAGAGCATAACTTAAGTTCCATTTGGCCCACAATATTCAAACTTCAAATGATGATTGTCCATATTAGGTAAAAGACTCCTATTGATTTTGGGGTCACAAGGTCAAAGGTCATGGTCACTATTACCTTCACACTGAAAACAGTTTCCGGAGCATAACTTAAGTTCTATTTGGCCAACAATATTCAAACTTCATGATTGTCCATATTGGGTAAAAGACCCCTATTGATTTTGGGGTCACAAGGTCAAAGGTCTGGGTCACAATGATCTTTTCACTGAAAATTGTGGTTTCTGGAGCAAAACTTAAGTTCCATTTGGCCCACAGTGTTCAACCTTCATAGGATAATTGTCAATATTGAGTAGAAGACCCCTATTATTTTTGGGTCAAAGTCACTGAAAACGGTTTTCGCTCAATAACATAAGTATTGATGAACCTTCAGCTTATATTGATAACATTAATTATATGCCTATATCATGTTATATCCCTGGCGTCTTTCTGTCCATTCGTTGTATTAAAATTATTTAATTCCCATGTCTTACAAATGCTTCATCCTTACTAAAAAATCACTTTTGGGCATATAATGCTCCGTCTAGCGGTGCTCTAGTTATCAGTGTGTTAAAATATAGATACCCAACAGAAGTTGAATTAAAAAACATTCAAAGTCAAGGTTATTTCTTCATTAAATGTATATTCTTCAATTTAATTTTTATAAAAAGTTTTTTCTTGTAGGCTTTAGAGAAACTTTACAAGCACCAGATTTATTGTCAAAAATACTTCTATATACGGTAATTGTACTTAAATTAGGAAATTAGACTATGACTGTAAAAACACCTTCACATGCATGTTATCAATTTGAATGACAAGTATAAATGATAAATGTGACAACATTTATGTTTTTTTTATTCAAATTCTAATTAAAAGTAATTTATTGTAGGCTAGAAGTAATGTGGAGTCAACGATCAACCGGAATATAAGTTACAAAAATACAAGTTGTTCAACAGATTCTGAATGCGGACATTACAATGGTATAGAGTATACATCAATCATTTATGCCAAGCCTAGTGAGAACGGGAATTTCTATCTGAAAGTTGCAATGGTATATGGAAATGAACGAATTGAGTCGCGCAAATCTGCTTTAAAATACACGATTGATGGAAAAGACAGTAAGAACTTTAAATAATATTATTGTTAGTAGAAGTGTATTAGTAGTACTAGTAACAGTGGTAGTAGAAGTGATACTAGTTGTGTGTAATGGTACTTTTGGTTCCAGTTATGGTGGTTGGCATGACCAGCATACCAAATATAAAAAAATATTTAACACAAAGTACATTTGTATAGTGATAACGAGAACCACGTTTTGAAAATTGCTTTTGAGAATGGGAACGATGACATATATCGCACACATTTCCTATAAAATACAAAATTGTAGAAAAAAGAAGTAGGTGTAGTGGTAGTGCGGAAGCGGGTCACTGCAGAAGTATTTTAGTGGCTTTCGAAAAGGTAGTACATGTATAAGTAGCACAAGTAAAAGAATTAGTAGAAGGTTAAGTAGCAGTAGCAACACTAGCAGTGAAAGCAGCATTCAAACAGCAGTATTTGTTTGTCTTAGTAGTTGTACTACTACTACTGGAAGTAGTATTAGTAAAATAAGAAGAAGTAATAATGTAGAAATAGAAGTACTAGAATCAATATAAAATGTAGTAGAATCAATAACAACATTAGTAACAGAAACAATAGTAGCAACATGTAAATATAACAGTAATAGCAGTAGGTATCAAGTCGCAGACGTAGGTGGATTTATTAAGAAACAAGAGAAGGGGAGGGCGGGGGATTTGAAACATAATCTGCTAATAGTAGCTACATCAGTAGTAGAAGCATTATCATCAGCAATAGTACATGACATGCAGCAGCTGTAAATATTGTCTACATTTGTTTAAGTTTGAATAAATGCGATCACAAGATCTCACTAATTAAAGTCAATCTTAAAGGTCTTGAGCTAAAAAAAAAAACGTTTATTTGATAAACTGTATTTATAAGTTTTTAATCAGCTGTCTTAACTTAAAAGCTTACATGTAAGGCTACAATTATCCAAAGTATTACTTGTGCTTGAAATAATGCTTATTTATCCACCTTTAGAATTATTTATGTTGATAAAAAATACCAATTTCACAGTATAAAAGTGCATTTATACTTAATCCAACACTATAAAGATCTGATGACATTAGGATGTTGTTTTTTTTTCCAGATAATAATGAAAAAAGGTCTTTTCGCCAGATTTCTGGATTTTATGCAGTTTTTATTATTGTTCCTGTCTTTATTGTTGCTTGTGTTATTATTTATAAGCATCGTAAATGTGGACCTCTTAAAGAGTAAGTATTAAACTACAATCTACCTAGTAAGAAAATATTATACAAAAGTTAAAAATGAGCAGTAGTTGGGATATAGAAAATTTACAAATATTGTTCCATTGTTTATAAATGGTGATATTAAATCATGCTATTCACAAAGAGAAATGGTATTAATAACGTGATTTCATTTGTCCTTTCAGTAAGAACATATCTCAAGTTGGTCTGCATACCAGTAAAACATATGAGTATCTCTAATGAATGCTTTTATACCTGTCCTTTCCTAGATGCAGAAAACTTATAAACAATCATAACCAGGCAGGAAATGAAAAGAGTGAAGAAGAGACAAACCATATGGAACAAGGTACTTGCTAAGTATATCTATTGTGATTTGGCACCTCGCCAAATGCTCTACAAATCCGAACCTATGTAGGGAAATACATTTTTATCATTCTGAGCCAAATAAGCAATTTATTGATAAACATAAAAGGGGTTATAGTATGTCCCATCTTAAATGGAAATTAACTTTTCTATGGTATGGAATAACGAAAAAATGTTGGTTTACTTTTTATATGTTACTATGAAAAATAATTAGTGCATTTATTCTATCTTCCTTGATGACATTGGAACTTGCGTTATGCTTTATTTCATCTTGCTTTATGATATTTAAAATTTGCATTATGCTTGATTCCCTTTTGCATTTTTTTATTCAAACTTGCGCAGTGTATAATTCTTTCAATGAGTGATAACTTGCACAAGCCATTTATCGTTCTGTTTTGGAATATTAAAATGTTAACGTCAAAAACCTTCATGTATAAGCTACCTTTTTTCATGCTCTATAATTCACAGGTAAAAATGCACCACATGTTTGTTGTATGTTTGGTACACCATATGTTTTCCATATGTAAAACACATGTGTTTCATATGTTTTGAAAATGATGTGTTTAAGAACACATGTTTTTCATATGTAATATGAACATATGTTAAACAGGACCATATGAAAAACATGTGTCAACAAACATATGTTAAACTCATGGTTATCACATGTTTTTATATGAACAAGTTTTCAAATGTTAAATATAAGTGAACTTTCCTGTGTTTTTCATATGATAAATTTAAGATTATATATTCTGCAAGATTTACACTTTGAACAGTCTTAATTAGATTCTACATGATTGTACATAAATTCTTTAAAAGATTCTCTTGAGTTATGCATCTATGTACAACTTGTAAATGTAGTAAATCTATGGGGAAAAAGTTACCTTCACTTCCAATACTTCCAATCATGTCGAAAAAAAAACAACAATAAAATATCTTTATGAAAAGATGAAAATAAATAAATGATAAATATCTTTTTAGAGGGATAGCTGATTATATTTTAAATTAAGGGAAGAACTGTCAGGAAAAGAAATAGTTTATGGATGAATCGTCAAGGTGATGAACTGATTAGGGGGAGAATAGTCTGCCATTCATTTTTATTCATGATTTATTCTGCCTAATGAATATTTTTTTACAAAATTGATCAATCTTTATTTGAGCATCATATTTATGATATTTAACCATAAAAAATGTGTGACAGGATCTTTAAGATTTAGCAATTTTGTAAGTTCCAAAAAGCAATATTTATAAAAAATATTACCGAATTTTACATTTTATGTAAATAAAGGGAGGTAATAAAAAGTTGTTTTTCTATAAATTCTAAGTCAATGTTTTCAATAAGAAATGAATGCACATATTTTAATGATTACAAATAATATGTAAAAATATTTGCAGTACATATTTTACATATTCTTCGATTTTTGAAAATTCTTTTTATAAGCATACTTATATATATATAATTTCACTTAAATGTGGTGTTAAACACTTAACACTTGTTAAATTCTTACGCATTAAGTTCAAGCAAACCTCTGGAACACATTTTACCATTTGTAATGAAAAACATGATTCATGTGACATCATATCATACAGTGTCCTTTTCTTGGAAAAACATTGTTTCATACCATATGAAAAACATATGTTATTCATGTGTATTCATATGAAAAAACATGTGAAAAACATTTGTCTGCATCATATGTAAAACATATGCGGTACTTTTCTTGGATACACCATATGTTTCTACTACCTTATGTTAAACATGTGTGTCACATACGTTCAAACATGTGGTGCATTTTCACCTGTGTAATAGAAAGTCAAGGAAATAACACCATTTTTAACCTCAGATTTCAATTGAACACCTTTCCCACACCACTACATTAAACTATTGCACATACGACTACGTGACACGCTAAAAAGAAGTATAAACAATATATAAGAGGTGATTTGATACTTATAAGATGAGTCTATTACATTTTTATCACGCGATGTTCGATTCTTAAAAAAACATCGTATCCACCCCTGTATAAAGAGAAGTAACTTTGTTATACTCCACGCGCCAAAATAGCGAGACCATCCGACAAACTAACACCTATTGTATCTCGCATTTTGCTTACCGCCAAATGCTTAGTGCTTTCCGTAACATGTGACTATAATATCACCATCGTTGTCGATGCACAGTGACTATGTAATGCATTTTATTTGTGATCAGTGAATTTATTGAAGCAAATGAATGCTAAGACACGTCAAATTTGCCAAGTATTGATCAAATCAATTATGTATTGTGAAAAAGTGTCGACATTGTAAGTGGCAGATTTATAGCAGAATCAAGGTACTGGCAGGAGCTTACCATTTTACATCTAGTTATATCAAGAACAAGCAAAGAATAATCTTTTAAACGCCGAACATAATACGCTGTACTTATGGAAAGATGCGATTAACATATAGTTTATGAAAATATATATCAGTTTGATGGTTCAGAAAGGAACACATGAAGTTGCATTCAGTAATCATTATGCATGCTAATATTCAGAAAAGAAGTATGGAAGCAAGCATAATGTAAGGTCCTATATCACCAAGCAAGATTAAATAAATGCACTAATTATGTTCCATATGTATCTACATGAGCATTTCTTAAATTTGAAAAGTATTTTAATTGTATAGATATTGAACAAAATTAGAATAGCACTTCTCCGGCTTATTTTTTATTCACATAGTCTTGATATTAAAACCAGCAGTTGAAATAAATCTTAAGCTACACCTTTAGATGATGGAATATGTAGAGTGTGTTATTCTTATTTCAGTAGATGAATTCTACTTCTTTTTACAAGAAGCTTTTTAAGAAGCTCATTTTTTATGTTAAATAGTTAAAGGATGTACATGGTAACCTCAATATTAGACTGTACATTAAAACTACTGCTGCCAACATATATTTACATTAAAAAAGTGCATAACATAGAAATAGTAATACGTATGGTGACACAAAAGAACAATTTATTTGTGAATTTTTATTTATGGAACTTTTCAATAATCAGAAAGCACTGGACTCTGCAAAACTTTGATATTTTAACTTATTTAACTATTACACATGGACTTAACAACATTCTGGCACTGAGCCAAATCTTATTCTATTTTTAGATCTTTTGTTACTATTTTGGGCAGTCATGTGACTTACCATCATATACATTTTTAATACTTCAGGCCCAAATTTCTGTCAAAATTTATCCTGATGAAGACCTCACGGTAGGTCGAAACCGGTAGATAATAAAATAACATAAACATCCCTGGTGTTGACGTGTAATTTTCTTCTTACTTATCCTATCTTGATTTTACCTTTGGAAATTAGTATTCCTTTAGCGGGATCCGTCTTCACCAGGATTACCATCCAGGCAAATGCGTGATGTGGGCCGGGGTATATTGATTTTTACACCCGCCGTGTATCAAGTGTTTTGGATCCATCACAAAATGCAGCATCAGAGCCCTTGGAAAGGGAAATTGCATCGAAAACGAAACCAGATATATTCACTCACACAATCCGACCAATCAGCAACCGAATTACATTTACTTTCGGCAACAACGTCCATATCAACACTTCCGGAACAGGAAAGTTCTAAATTAAATCCGAAGATAAGACAAACAACAGAAGGTCAGAAACAGCGCAAAATTGACGAACCGAAAGTCTCAAGATTTAAATTCTCAAAGAAACTTCATGTTCAAAAAACCCGAACACAATATAATATATTATACTTAGAAAAGTACATAAGAACAAAATCCATCCTTAAATCATTCATACCAAAAGTACCAGTTATCAGCTCAACTTCACAATTACAGTGGGAAGAAGCACATATTGACTTTGATACCTAGAATTATCCTATTTTATCCATGGCGTACTTAGAAGAGAGATTTCTTGCCACTCAACAAATAGAACCACTCATATGGTGCAGATATATTGATGACATTTTTACCATTTGGCCAACATATATATACATTAAAAAAGTGCATAACATAGAAAAAGTAATACTTATGGTGACACAAAATTTATTTGTGTATTTTCATTTATGGAACTTTTCAATAATCAGAAAGCACTGGACTCTGTAAAACTATGATATTTTAACTTATCTTACTATTACACATGGACATAACAACATTCTTGCACTGAGCCAAATCTTATTCTATTTTTAGATTTTTTGTTACTATTTTGGTCAGTCATGTGACTTACCATCCTATACATTTTTAATACTTCAGGCCCAAATTTCTGTCAAAATTTATCCTGATGAAGACCTCACGGTAGGTCGAAACCGGTAGATAATAAATTGATATAAACATCCCTAGTGTTGACGTGTATATTTCTTCTTACTTATTCTATCTTGATTCTTTTTACAATATTCATTTTATAAGTTAATCTACAAAAATATATAAAAACACTTTCGATTAAAACAAATTATACTTCATTTTATTGCATTTAATTTAATGAATTCAGAAAATGAAATAAAAATTAGAAACTTATGAATGTGCACACTACGCTTTATGATTTATAAAAAAGTTTATTATTTTGTTTTGTGTCGCATGCCCTTTTGATTGGATGGTATCTGGTATTCATTTACTAGTAATATGATAATTCGAGATAAAATATATATGTATTAATTTATGCGGAAACTTTTAAGCTCCCCTGAGCTAGCTCATGGTGAGCTTTAAGGATCTTGGAATGTCCGTCGTCCGTCCACACTTGTTCATTAACACGCTAGTGGTCACATTTTTTGAATCAATCATCATCAAAATTGGTCAGGATGCTTGTCCATGTAATTGCTCGGATGAGATCGAATATGGGTCATCTCGGATGAAAAACTAGAGGAGCTTAATATAGAATACCTTGTTAACACTCCATTGGTCATTTTTTTCGAATCAATCATCATCAAAATTGGCCAGGATGCTTGTCTATGAAATTGCTTGGATGAGTTCTAACATGGGTCATCTCGAATGAAAACTAGGTCACAGGAGCTAAAAAATTGAAAAATCTTGTTAACAAACTAGTGGCTACTGATTTGATCCAAATTTCCTTGAAATTGGTCTGAAAGTTTGTTTTGATATTTTCTAGGTCAAGTTTGAATATGGGTCATCTGGGGTCAAAAACTAGGTCATCTTTGCCCTCTTGTTTAAGAAATCGATGCATACATTCAAAAAAAATAGTAGATGGTTTTATTTAAGTTAAAGCATATTCATATCTTTTAAACTAAGCAACATAGCAATGTTGTATATTAAAAAAAGCTTTATTTATATCAAACTAAATTGTTTCAGAGTTAACATAAATCTTAAATTAAAATAGTAGAAACTCTCAAAGATGTTTAATAATTGAAAAATAAATTTTATGTGCCATAGATACACTGTGTTCAACAGAGAAAATAAAGAGGCAAAAACAGAAGTTGATTGCAGAACTCAAAGAGCTGCTACCAACAAAAACTCAAAAGGGGAAGGATGCCATAAATTAAGGTATACCATACATTCTTATTATTAAATCGATTTTGAAAAACTTTCTGAATTATTAGTAATGTAACAATGCTGCTCTAAAATAGGAGTAAAATATACGAGTCTAGATTATACACGTTGTTCAGTGTTAAGAGACGTGAAAAATACTAGTGCAGCTAAACTGAATAAATCTAAAATATTTAAACTAGTTTAAAGATCTTGCAACACATTTTTTTCATGGTTTTTATTTAATAAATATGATGCTCAAATTAAAGTTTCTCAATATTGTAAGATCCAAGTAGCATTATTTAAAAAGATATTACCCAATTTAACATTTCATGTAAATAAAGTGAAGTAAATAAAAATTTATTTTCTATAAATTCTAAGTCAGATTTTCCAATAAGATATGAATGCATGTAATTTATTGATGATATATAATGTGCACAAATATTTGCAGTACACATTTTACATATTCTTCGATGTTTAAAAATTGTTTTAATTGCATAATTATAGACATATATACTTTTTTCAAGTGTGGCATACACACCGTAACAATATCAATCACAAAACATACAGGGTATACATGTGTTTTAAATGTTCTAAATAGGATAACATGTCATAAAATTAATCAGAATAAAATCTTCAGCGGAAAGAGTTTTTTGACAGTTTGTCTGTGACATGCGAGCTACGTAACTTCTGATCCGCTTCCATGAACAGAATCTGTCAAATCGAGCTTACGCCTTTTTCATTGTTTTTAAGCTCTTTAAGAATTCCGTTTAGTTCTCTCTTTTCAGGCCAAAACACAAAATGATAGACGGGACGTTTTTGATACTTGTGTAAGTGGATTTAATTAAAGCAAAAAAAGGGTTTTTGGAAAATAATTTACAAGACATAAAGGCTGCTCTTTTGGTTGATTTTAAATGAAAAAAAGCAAAAAAAAAAAAAAAAAAAAAAAAAGCACTAAAGCTTGAACAGGTTACATGGGGGATACATCTTTATAGTATTTGCCGTGTCTAACCGGCATATATAGTATAATATTTCCTTTCGCCATTTGGAACAGAGGAATTTTGGACAGGATGACTGTAGATTTTGAAAAAAATAATCATGTTCAGGATTTATTTGATTATAAAACTGTGGTCGTGATGGATGGAATACACATTTCTTGTTTGAAAGATAAGCGTTTTAATTTTATTTACAGTGATTTGTAGTATGGATTGGTGCAGATTTATTTTTTGTCGATACTGTATGACCGTATACATTTGAAACTGGTATATGTACCAGTTTCAAATGTATATGTATATGCATTTTTATATGGTGTTTTACCTGATATGAGCAATATAATATATACTTAAAGTACGTTACAGCGTATTGTTGATTTATACCTTTTTATTTAATTTTATTATCTCTTTTAAATACCAGAGTAAGCAGTTTATTTCCTACCAGCATTTCACATTTCCAACAACTATGTCTATGATACATGATATGATTCGAATTCTTTATTCAATATTATAAACATGTACATGAATTTATGTCAATTTCAATTTGACAGGTGATCTGCTCCAATGTCTAAATTTAGAATGACATGTGAAATTGACGCTTCACACTGTTTATTTACTATTTCAGTACATAATTATGTACTTATGTAATAGTTATAGAACATGAAACGAGTAAGTTACATCAACATCAAAGCGACATCAACGGGTGTTTCTGCTAAAATATGGCGAGGCCGTTAGGTCGAGACTTTTTTGCAGAAATATCCCGAGATGTCACCCCAGCCAGTGTTATACCCCCGTAACTAACGAGTTTCATGTACTATAACTGTTTTATTGCAATGACATAATGTTTCCTCTTTTTTGTAATAGAAACAAATTAATAAAAAAATCGTTAGCTACATTACAGTTATTTATCATAAGGCAGTTTTTCAAGTTGTTTTCGCTGCCGCAAAAAATATACAAAAGACATCCAATGTTAGAGGCGGATTGTAAACTGTTACCAAGAGTGATTCATACGGTGGCACCAAAGGTGACATGTGTGTGTTTTATTTATCTCGTGGTCACCAGATACAATGTCGTGGCCACGAGTTACTAAGTATTGGCCACGAGATAGTTTAGACGTGGCCACGAGATACTATGTCGTGGCCACGAGTTACTATGTCGTGGTCACGAGATACTATGTCGTGGCCACGAGTTACTAAGTATTGGCCACGAGATAGCTTAGACGTGGCCACGAAATACTATGTCGTGGCCACGAGTTACTATGTCGTGGTCACGAGATACTATGTCGTGGCCACGAGTAACTATGTCGTGGTCACGAGTTACTAAGTCGTGGCCACGAGTTACTAAGTATTGGCCACGAGATAGCTTAGACGTGGCCACGAGATACTATGTCGTGGCCACGAGTTACTATGTCGTGGTCACGAGTTACTAAGTCGTGGCCACGAGTTACTATGTCGTGGCCACGAGTTACTAAGTATTGGCCACGAGATAGCTTAGACGTGGCCACGAGATACTATGTCGTGGCCACGAGTTACTATGTCGTGGTCACGAGATACTATGTCGTGGCCACGAGTTACTAAGTCGTGGCCACGAGATACTATGTCGTGGCCACGAGTAACTATATCGTGGTCACGAGTTACTAAGTCGTGGCCACGAGTTACTAAGTATTGGCCACGAGATAGCTTAGACGTGGCCACGAGATACTATGTCGTGGCCACGAGTTACTATGTCGTGGTCACGAGATACTATTTCGTGGCCACGAGTTACTAAGTCGTGGCCACGAGATACTATGTCGTGGCCACGAGTAACTATGTCGTGGTCACGAGTTACTAAGTCGTGGCCACGAGTTACTAAGTATTGGCCACGAGATAGCTTAGACGTGGCCACGAGATACTATGTCGTGACCACGAGTTACTAAGTCGTGGCCACGAGTAACTATGTCGTGGTCACGAGTTACTAAGTCGTGGCCACGAGTTACTAAGTATTGGCCACGAGAAATCTTAGACGTGGCCACGAGATACTATTTCGTGGCCATGATTTACTAAGTCGTAGCCACGAAATAGCTAAGTCGTGGCCACGAGTAACTATGTCGTGGTCACGAGTTACTAAGTCGTGGCCACGAGATACTATGTCGTGGCCATGAGATAGCTAAGTCGTGGTCACGAAATACTATGTCGTGGCCACGAGTTACTAAGTCGTGGCCACGAGATACTATGTCGTGGCCACGAGTAACTATGTCGTGGTCACGAGTTACTAAGTCGTGGCCACGAGTTACTAAGTATTGGCCACGAGATAGCTTAGACGTGGCCACGAGATACTATGTCGTGGCCACGAGTTACTATGTCGTGGTCACGAGATACTATGTCGTGGCCACGAGTTACTAAGTCGTGGCCACGAGATACTATGTCGTGGCCACGAGTAACTATGTCGTGGTCACGAGTTACAAAGTCGTGGCCACGAGTTACTAAGTATTGGCCACGAGATAGCTTAGACGTGGCCACGAGATACTATGTCGTGGCCACGAGTTACTAAGTCGTGGCCACGAGTAACTATGTCGTGGTCACGAGTTACTAAGTCGTGGCCACGAGTTACTAAGTATTGGCCACGAGATAGCTTAGACGTGGCCACGAGATACTATGTCGTGGCCACGAGTTACTATGTCGTGGTCACGAGATACTATGTCGTGGCCACGAGTTACTAAGTCGTGGCCACGAGATACTATGTCGTGGCTACGAGTAACTATGTCGTGGTCACGAGTTACTAAGTCGTGGCCACGAGTTACTAAGTATTGGCCACGAGATAGCTTAGACGTGGCCACGAGATACTATGTCGTGGCCACGAGTTACTAAGTCGTGGCCACGAGTAATTATGTCGTGGTCACGAGTTACTAAGTCGTGGCCACGAGTTACTAAGTATTGGCCACGAGAAATCTTAGACGTGGCCACGAGATACTATTTCGTGGCCACGATTTACTAAGTCGTGGCCACGAGATAGCTAAGTCGTGGCCACGAGTAACTATGTCGTGGTCACGAGTTACTAAGTCGTGGCCACGAGATACTATGTCGTGGCCATGAGATAGCTAAGTCGTGGCCACGAGATACTATGTCGTAGCCACGAGTTACTAAGTCGTGGCCACGAGATAGCTAAGTCGTGGCCACGAGTAACTATGTCGTGGTCACGAGTTGCTAAGTCGTGGCCACGAGTTACTAAGTATTGGCCACGAGATAGCTAAGTCGTGGCCAGGAGTAACTATGTCGTCACGAGTTACTAAGTCGTGGCCACGAGATACTATGTCGTGGCCACGAGTTACTAAGTCGTGGTCACGAGTTACTAAGTCGTGGCCACGAGATACTATGTCGTGGCCACGAGTTACTATGTCGTGGTCACGAGTTACTAAGTCGTGGCCACGAGTTACTAAGTATTGACCACGAGATAGCTTAGACGTGGCCACGAGATACTATGTCGTGGCCACGAGTTACTAAGTCGTAGCCACGAGATAGCTAAGTCGTGGCCACGAGTAACTATGTCGTGGTCACGAGTTACTAAGTCGTGGCCACGAGATACTATGTCGTGGCCATGAGATAGCTAAGTCGTGGCCACGAGATAAGTAAGCCGTGGACACGAGTTATTATGTCGTGGCCACGAGTTACTAAGTCGTGGGAACGAGACAGCTAAGTCGTGGCCACGAGATTATTAACCCATCAGAATACATCATATATATTACAAATTTTTAAACTTAACATCTTACTTTTACATGCAACATTAATCTTTGAAAATACTGAAGATATTCACTTTGAACTTGTCTTTTAGATCATATTAGAAAGTCGCCTTTCAAGGCCCATCAGACATTTATTTTGACTATAGCTCTTTGTTTTGCAAGTTTGTGATCGAATTGGTCAGTTTGAACGTACTACGGTCTGTTAACGTTGTTTATACGATAACATATGAAGGAATAAGTCCTGGTTTGTGCCGGCGAGCCGGTATTACGTTAGGATTTTACTGAGAAACAACCTAAAACTCCGAATCCATCCAAAAATTTAATCAATGCTTGGCTTCCAGCTTTCTACAAAATTAATCTGTCAGAGCTGGAATCCAAAATTATTTAGCCAATCAAATCTTATCTTATATAGCGTCAATAAAAACTTCAATTTTCACGCCATCTCTAAAAGGCAGCTAGTATTGCTTTGAGCGCAAAGATATAATGATGATTAAAATGTTTGTTTTCATGAATTCTTTTCAATAAATCATATTTACACTGACTTTTGATTTAGCGATTTCACCTGTTTTCTCTGTAGTAAGTTTTCGTTTAGTTAATTAACATAAGACTAGTGTACATTTGGTTCTGTACATTGTTTTCTTTTTCTTTTTTTCCGGTCATTTTATCCTTTCCGGTATTTAGTGTATGGGATCCGGGACGCTCGGGATCCGGGATCGTATAAGATATAGAGGAAAAACTAATAAACTATATTTGTGTTGATTATTGTCGTAATGAAAGGCCATTAATTAAACGTTAAGTTTTTATTTTTTTATTGTATGTAATGAACGTTAAATTAATTTATCTTAGGATATAAATATATTTAGAGCTATTTATTAACCAACTTAAATTGTGGAAATCACAATACTTACAATTATATGCCTAATTAATTGGAAAAATCAAAGACTATGTTCTTGAATTGAAGTCTCTTCAGCTAACAAAACTGTCATTTTTACATTTAAACACAATTTTATATTTAGCTGTTAAATGATTATTTATATTTGCATTGATGTTCTTTGCGTGAATACGTATATACTAATTACATGTAACAGTGCAATCTGAGTTTGAAAACTATCATTATCATATTACATGTAGTAATGTATATTAAAATGTAAGCTATGCTATTTTATATGTATGTGCTTTTTATAAAAATAAATTTGAA